ATAATTAAAGTGGCTGCAGTAAATAAGGCCTGTAGGTTTTAGCGAGGACCATCCTTCTTCGAAACTCATGAACTAGTGCTACAAAATCACAAAGAATAACAAAAACCCCATAATATCTCATATACCTGATATTATTAATCTGTCTACCCACCTCTCTCTCTCTCTCTCTCTCTCTCTCTCTCTCTCTCTCTCTATCTATCTATCTATCTATCTATCTATCTATACTGCGTATATTTTGGCAGCATGTTTTCATTGAGACATGTTTCATTGAATAATTTAGACTTTTTCTACTTATTTTCAATTGTGCTCTTTCATATTCACGGACAAGCTTTTTGGTCTCATTATTAAAGGGAGAGAAAAAATAGTGTCTTGATACATATAACTTTATTTCGAGTATTTTGACATAGCACAATGCCATCATCAGGATGTTGTTGATTTCAAGACAAATAGTGTAGTGTTCATCATTTTCAAAGTTAAAATTGTGGTGTTGATCTGAAAGTTAATTTTTTTTCGTTTATTTGTGAAGGGTGCGACAGAAATATCTCTCCCATATAACCTCCATCCCAAATACCTCCCACATATAACCCCCCCCCACACACACACTTCCACATAATGGTAAGGCTGTAATTTCTGGGATAACATCAACTATGAACACGGCCACAATGTTGTTGAATGTTGGCTTTTTCTTCTTTTTTTTATATTAATAATGCTTCCATTATTATTATTATTATTATTATCATTATTATTATTATTATTATTATTATTATTACATGTGGATGAGGCTATTATATTTGTACTGTAAACAAGTACGTTGCAAATGGAGTTTAGTAGGTATCCGTGTATATTTAATTTATAAGAAGACAATAAAAATTAAATTTAACTTCAGTACCTTGTCGGTCGTTTTTAACGAAATTTGTATATATATATATATATATATATATATATATATATATATATATATATATATATGGTAAATGACAATTGAAAAAATCTTACATTTTGCCGACGCGTTTCGTCTTCCGACTTTTTCAAGGCAAAATGAAATCGAAATGTTTTTGTTGTTATAGTTACATTAAAATTCAAATGTAAAAGATAGACGCTTGTGTCTAAGCCTTTTTTCTGGTTAATGTAAATTACCTTTATAGTAAGGGATTATTAATATTATTATTATTTATTTATTTATTTTTTTTTTTTCGATTTCATTTTTGCCTTGAAAAAGTCGGAAGACGAAACGCGTCGGCAAAATGCAAGATTTTTTTTCCAATTGTCATTTGTCTGTCTTGTCCACAGAATTCATCTGGGAATTATATATATATATATATATATATATATATATATATATATATATATATATGATGGACTCTCCAGTCGTATTCGACGTATCAGAGTCAGCAGCTCAGTTCCTGTGAACCGACAGCCAGTCACCAGCACATATATGATTATAGTGGTGAAGGCTTTGTACAGAACCGACCACACTTTCTGAAGGGCTGAATAGAGTGACCTTGGTGCACTACTTGCCACAAGGTCCCCTAACGACCTTCCGCAGGCGTTGAATCCAGAGTTGTCCTTTCCTAGACCAGTTGCCATCCAAGGTTATATATATATATATATATATATATATATATATATATATATATATATATATGTGTGTGTTTTGTGTGATTACTATTTGTTATCGATTAATAAAAAATTCAATTAATTTGACTCTTAATGGGGTCCTTGACATTTTACAATTTTCATCAATTGATTTTGCTAAGTTACTGAATTTGGAGAATTCAAATAGACGATTGTACTCGCAATGAGGCGCTTTGCTTTTATCGTCTCCTGGGATTCAAGCTCACCCCACAAACCAAAAGACGAAAACATCTAAACGATCCATCGCTAAAGAAGCTGGTAAAATGGTCTGTTCCTTTCACAGCTCCAGAAAGTCTTTGACTTCTTCTACCAGCCTCTATATTTACAAAGTTTCGTATCAGACCACAAAAATGGTTTGTTTGTTTGTTTGTTTTGTTTAACGGCATTCCAACCTCAATGGTCATTTTATGCCGAAAATGATTTTGGTATAACTTGCAACATTATCTTTTTTTTTCAAAAACGTATAGCTGGCAACATTATTTTTTCAAAAACGTATAGCTGGCAGCATTATTTTTAAAAAAAAAACGTATAGCTGGCAACATTATCTTTTTTTTCAAAAACGTATAGCTGGCAACATTATTTTTTTTCAAAAACCCACAGCTGGCAACACCATTCTTTCAAAAACGTATAGCTGGCAACATTATTTTTTCAAAAACATGTAGCTGGCAACATTTTTTTAAAAAAAAAAAGTATAACTGGCAACATTATTATTTAAAAAAATAACATCATCCTTTCACAGCGTTTTGACCCCAGTTACAATTCCATTGAATAAGATTTTGTTAAAAGACATATAGCTGGTAATATTTTTCTTTTTTTAAACGTATAGCTGGGAATTTTATTTTTCAAAAATGTAGAGCTGGTAATATTATTTTTCGAAAGACGCATAGCTGGTAATATTGTTTTTCCAAAAACGTATGGCTGGTAATATCATTTTTCAAAAGCACACTGGTGGCAACATTATTCCTTCGGAAACGTATGGCTGGTAATACTACTTTTCCAAAAACGTATAGCCGACAACCTTAATTTTTCAAAAACGGCCTTTCTGTTGGACGTAGTTTATCACCATACCCAATATGTGGATGTAGTTTATCGCCATACCCAGGACGCGGATTCAATTTACCGTCATACCCATGGACGCGGAAGCAGCTTACCGTCATACCCATGGACGCGGATGCAGTTTACCGTCATACTCATGGACGCGGATGCAGTTTACCGTCATACCCATGGACAAGGAAGCAGTTTACCGTCATACCCATGGACGCAGATGCAGTTTACCGTCATACCCATGGACGCGGAAGCAGTTTACCGTCATACCCAAGGACGCGGATGCAGTTTACCGTCATACCCATTTTTCAAAAACGGCCTTTCTGTTGGACAGTTTATCACCATACCCAATATGTGGATGTAGTTTATCGCCATACCCAGGACGCGGATTCAATTTACCGTCATACCCATGGACGCGGAAAGCAGTTTACCGTCATACCCATGGACGCGGATGCAGTTTACCGTCATACTCATGGACGCGGATGCAGTTTACCGTCATACCCATGGACAAGGAAGCAGTTTACCGTCATACCCATGGACGCAGATGCAGTTTACCGTCATACCCATGGACGCGGAAGCAGTTTACCGTCATACCCATGGACGCGGATGCAGTTTACCGTCATACCCATTTTTCAAAAACGGCCTTTCTGTTGGACGTAGTTTATCACCATACCCAATATGTGGATGTAGTTTATCGCCATACCCAGGACGCGGATTCAATTTACCGTCATACCCATGGACGCGGAAGCAGCTTACCGTCATACCCATGGACGCGGATGCAGTTTACCGTCATACTCATGGACGCGGATGCAGTTTACCGTCATACCCATGGACAAGGAAGCAGTTTACCGTCATACCCATGGACGCAGATGCAGTTTACCGTCATACCCATGGACAAGGAAGCAGTTTACCGTCATACCCATGGACGCGGATGCAGTTTACCGTCATACCCATTTTTCAAAAACGGCCTTTCTGTTGGACGTAGTTTATCACCATACCCAATATGTGGATGTAGTTTATCGCCATACCCAGGACGCGGATTCAATTTACCGTCATACCCATGGACGCGGAAGCAGTTTACCGTCATACCCATGGACGCGGAAGCAGTTTACCGTCATACCCATGGACGTGGATGCAGTTTACCGTCATACCCATGGACGTGGATGCAGTTTACCGTCATACCCATGGACGCGGAAGCAGTTTACCGTCATACCCATGGACGCGGATGCAGTTTACCGTCATACCCATGGACGAGAAAGCAGTTTAACGTTATACTCATGGACGCGGATGCAGTTTACCGTCATACCCATGGACGCGGATGCAGTTTACCGTCATACCCAAGGACGAGGAAGCAGTTTACCTTCATACCCATGGACGTGGATGCAGTTTACCGTCATACCCATGGACAAGGAAGCAGTTTACCGTCATACCCATGGACGCTGATGCAGTTTACCGTCATACCCATGGACGAGGAAGCAGTTTACCGTCATACCCATGGACGCGGATGCAGTTTACCGTCATACCCATGGACGCGGAAGCAGTTTACCGTCATACTCATGGACGTGGAAGCAGTTTTCCGTCATACCCATGGACGCGGATGCAGTTTACCGTCATACCCATGGACGTGGGTGCAGTTTACCGTTATACCCATGGACGTGGAAGCAGTTTACCGTCATACCCATGGACGAGGAAGTCGTTTACCGTCATACCCATGGACGCGGAAGCAGTTTACCGTTATACCCATGGACGCGGAAGCAGTTTACCGTCATACCCATGGACGAGGAAGCAGTTTACCGTCATACCCATGGACGCGGATGCAGTTTACCGTCATACCCATGGACGCGGATGCAGTTTACCGTCATACCCATGGACGTGGATGCAGTTTACCGTCATACCCATGTACGCTGATGCAGTTTACCGTCATACCCATGGAGGCCAAGAAAATGGTGGATTGTAGTCTAATCATCTTGTTTCAGCATTGACAGACCTCAAAAGCGTTTACCTAGCCTTTTGGGTGTGAATTATTTTCCTGTCGACAAACCCTCTAGCACAAATGAAATGCTATCCTATCGTTATTTTGATGGAAAATGTTCGGACGAGCAACATTCCTCAGTTGCACCAGTTCAGACCTTTACAACTAAAACTCGCCATGTCACGTACACAGGGTCGTATCATCCTCATTTCCTTCGTATATCCTTAATAAGAGACCTTTTTCTCCAGAACTCTTACTTTGTGAAAGAGACTCCTGCGTGGATGCTTCCTCGATCACTACGATGTCAACCTCTTCAGGTATACAGTCTGCATGTCTTATGTTCTCCTCTTACGCTCATGGCTTACAGTTAAAACATCGGTTCTCGTACGATCATCGAAGTAAAGCAACTTTGAGCTTGGTCCGTACTTAGATGGGTGACCACCTGGGAATACTAGATGTTGTACGCTTGGATTTGCGAGTGGTGTGGCAGATAATTACTCGGAATTTAGAGCCGAGTTCCAATTCCAATCGGGTTCGTTATATTCACTTACGCGCAAATACTTTTGGGAAAGTTATGAATCTACCTCTTCTGCCCCCAAGCTATGGGTCAATTAGTAAGAATTGTATTACTAAACTATTATTATCTCAAAAAATAAAATAAAATTGCATGCAAAATATTTAGATTTCCGCATTAAATAACCCATAGAGGTTGATATGCCGCTAAACAAATCCAATAAAACGATCGAACGAATGAACCAAGCAATCAATCTTACGCACATACAAGCTAAACCTCTAACTTGAGTGGCTCTTGGGCTTTATATTGAGTTAACAATGGTAAAAAATTTTTTATTGTCTGCTAGAAATCTTCGCTTGAATATTTTCTTTCATTTTCGGATATATCTCTTTTAATCAGGTCTACAAGTTTTCGTATTTACGTTCTGGCATATTTTTTTTATTATCAAAACATTTCGGCCGTTGTACTCTTCGTCATTCTTCAGGTGCCCGTCGTTCCGGGTAACTTTCACGGAATTTCAAACTGAACTCTTCCTTACAGGGGTAGGTTATGCTACTCCGTTGTCCATGTATAGATATGGGTATGTGTAGGGCTATGTCTTTTTATTAACAGCACGAGATACTTATAGACATGGACTGTCCCGCATACATTAAATAAAGGGTTCAGTTGGAAATTCCCTGAAGTATGCCCTGATCGAGAAACGCCTGAAGAGGGCACAACGGTCGAAACGTGATAATGAAAATAAAATCCGAAATTAAAGTTCGAATTTAAAAAAAAAAAAAAAGAATGTAAGGAAAACTCCAGAAATCAAGTCTGAAGAAGCTGACACCATTCTATTAATTTGGTGTCTTTGAAAGCGAATTTTCTCTCCCTGTAAAAGAACGAAAAATTAAAAATGAAACGTTTCCATTTCTGTAGATTCGAAAACATTAACTTTGCAGTAAATATTCCTTTAAAATAATTTGGCCGCTACATTTTTTCTTAATAAAAAGTTTTTATTTTAAAATGATTTTTTGTTGTCTTTCGTTCCATTTTATGTAAATTTACCAAAGGAAAGAATAAGATTTTAAGAAAATTTACAGCCGTTTTTAATCTCGACCGAATCTGTAGAATTGGCCGACTTTGATTTTTAAATTTGTTTTCTAATATTGAACTCTCCTGTATATTTATCGAATAATAAGCCAGAACTAGCAAAGTCTTTCTTTCTCGTAGTGTTTGCGTTGTCTGCCTAGAATCTAGGACAAAAAACCCAACCTCTTATCCCAAAAGTGAACAAAGTCCCAGTCTCATAAATAAATAAAAAAAAAAAATCATATGTAAAAAGAAACAAATTTAACATTGAAAATTAGAGGAAATTTTAATTCAAACTTTAATGTCAAATTAAGACAATAATAACAATATCTAATATATACACCTATATGTGTAAGCAAATATATGGATATAAATCCGACAGTATGAAAGAAAAATACAGAAAAAACAAAATTCTGAATATGCATTATTAATGTTAAAATAAAGTCGACGTCGGACGTTTCGGTCTATTTAAGACCATCTTCATGGACATTTTCATTTAAACATAATTAACATTATAACTTATAACAATTTAACACAAAAGACGATGGACATAAGAACCCAACTAATTCAAACAGATAACTGAAATTTTATACAGATCAGCGTTCTGTTTAAATATGATCACGTAGTCGTCTCGTGGGCGATGTTGTTAAGACGTATTCGAAGATGATTTCCAAAAAATTAAAATATCAAAAAGTCGATTGAAAAATTTTTATAAAAAGTTAAAGAAATCTCTTCCGTTGATGTTGGAATACGTAGTGAAACAATTGGTTCTTATATCTTCAACAAGCTTGAACGGGAAGGACTTTCAAGAATGCATATTCAGAATTTTGTTTTTTCTGTATTTTTCTTTCACACCTATATGTACAAGAAAGATACTTCACGAGTACATGGGTCCGTTTAGATTGCTACAGAAATTCATTGTAAAAGGACCCAACCTCTAAAATATTTTCTAACTATGCTATGGTTACATATTCGTTATATTTCATATTTTGGGAGTCCTAGAATCCCATAAGACCCGACTTTATGCGAAGAAAGTATTATGAAGGGTATTTTTTAAAGTTTGCGCGAAAACGTATACAAATCACGGTGATCATATACGAATTAATATTATGCCTAATTAAGAGCTTAAATAAAGTTTTTATTCGTGAAATAATGATCTTGCGCATATAAATGTATATATTTGAAATGTTAGGTTCCTAAATTTAATATTTTTAAAAGTTTGATACTTCTTGATAAACATTCCATACACGATAGAACTGAACATTCTTTGCACCAAATTGTCACCATTTTTCGCCGTTTTTCTTTTTGGGAAGTCGTAGCAATCTTTTGTTTTTCCAGCTTTATTTGCAAGCAAATCCTTCAGAAAACGATGCGACCTCATGAATACTAGAGTTGTCAATTAGTCATTTAGACACGAATCATGAATGAATGAGGCCCGTATCGTTGGAAAAAGTTTAAATCATTGATGATATCTGCTGATCTCCAATGAACTGTCAATTGATTATGTCCGCCGTTTAAGATTTAAGGAGTATTTTCTTCTGTTTTGTATTTGGCTATGTCCGTGCTTTCTTTTTTATTAGACTCAGATTTTCTAGACAATCTCCCGACAGATGAAAAGAAAACTGGAGGCAACAGAAATGGTTTTATACAGAAGCATGGACGGTGCAAATGTCTCGTGCCACCCCCAAATCTATGATACCCGTCCCACACTCTACTACATCTCAATTTTCATAAAGTAGTATTCATATAAAATACAAATTTTATTCGAACCTAATTATATACAATAATTGATCATATGCAATATAGTTGAACAATTCAACTAGAAAAATTGAAAATAAATACAATGTATCTAAATACAAATTAGAGACATGTTATAAATAGATCATTCTATCTTGAATAAATCAACAATGTTTTGCGGCAAATTTGAACATCAATTTGAGATTTTCTTCGTTAAAAAGTTGAATAATTTTAACACATTCAACATTATGGATAAAAAAAATAATGAATTTTATACAGTATTTTTTCGAGACTTAGCAGAAGCAAAACAAATTTTGGACGGATTTGGGCGAAAAATAAAAGACATCAGAATGACGTCAAAAATCAGCGGACATTTTTCATCCTTTAATAGTCAGTTGTGTTTAGTTTAATTTATAACGTATATAAATATAGGTAGAAAAAAAGCAAATGTTGATAAGACAGCGAAGGTCACAAAGCACTGCTCGACTCCCCCAATCAGGCTTTTACCTCCCTACCCGGTTGGGGATGTCCGGGGATAGTACGCACCAGCCCTGTACAGAAGGATACTGACAATTCCACGGACAGAGCAAGTAAGCAATGAGGAAGTCTTAAAGAAAATGGTAACAAAAAGAACACTTACACTCTGAATCAGAAAGAGGCTGAATTTTTTTGAATACATAATGAGGAAGAAGGGTTTGGAGAATTTGACTTTCACAGGACATATTAAGGGCAAAAGAGATAGGAGAAGGCCACTAACCCGATGAGCTTGAGTGAATGGATTGAGGAACGGGTACGGGTGGCTTGGCAAAGAGACAAATACGGGTTATGGTCTACAAGTGATGAGATGATGAAGAGTTATGATCGCCATGTTCTGAAGCAATATGGCACATAGATAGAGAAAACGTTTTCCTTTCATCATGGGCTTAAAGTTTCTTTCAGACCAGTTCATTCATAAACTTCATCTATGTTCCATGTTACGTCAAGACGTTGGCGATCATGGCTCTCCACAATTTCCTATTTTTTACAGATAACTTTTGTTCACAATTTCCTATCAATTTTTAACAATTTCATATCCTTTGAAAATAACTTTTGTCTTTTTGCCATCGCTTCCAAACCTTGTTCCGCCATCAATTCACGGAAGCTCGTCAGATAGGCAATGCGCTGTTTTCTTCTGTATTTCATAGCTTCAATCTATCCTGTGAGTATCAGATTTTCTAAGCCCTCTTTCCTCGCTATGTGCCCCAGAAATTTCAACTGTCTCTTCCTGATATTAATTAGAAGTGTCCTTTTTGTTGTCATTGTCTCTAGAACTTCGTCAGTGATGACGTGTTCGGTCTATGGTATTCACAGCATCCTTCTGTAGAACCATATTTCTGTTACTTCAAGTCACTTTTTCATTTGTGAGGAGATTGTTCAGCATTCGCTGCCATATGGGAGGAGTGATATTAGATAACAGATCAGTACTAGTTTCTTTGTTTTTAACGATATTTTCTATTTCTTAATAATTTGATTAGCTTTCAGAAGGGTTAGTGCTGAAAAAAGTATTGGCCACTCTTTTTCAATCCATTTGTTCACACCAAGGGACATCTTTAGTTTTGTGTTTGAAATACCATTAACGCTAGCTTAGAATCTCCGTAAGAATCAGATTTTCACTGTTTTTTTTTTCTAATCATTTCACCCCAAGCAAGGCAACAGGGTCACTTACACGCAGATGTTTACTGAGTTCCACAAGAAGAGAGTTCCACAAGCGAGAGAACTTACGGTTGAAGAAATTCCTACACATATTACGATCTAATCGAGGTATTTCCTTCTTTCTGATGTTGATAGTTCAACCAAGAATTCTGCAATTATGTTTGGTCATAATTAAGTATAATGATAATAATAATTAGTAAATTTTATAAAACGTAATAGTGACGGGTGTTCAGTTTGCGATGTAAATTCACCGTAAATTAGTCCCCTCTACAGAAGCGGAAACAAAATATGTTCATACCATTTTTTAAAAATCCGTAATCTGAACTGATTGAATGGTAATAATATATGAAAAAAGATCTCAGCTTATCAATTTTTTCCTATCATGTTAAATCACATGGTATGAGCATTTTTTTTTCTTTTTGTCTTCCGTCGGGAGAACAAATTTATAATGAATTTACATAACCAACTGGACCAACTTTTATAAATATTTATTTATTTATTTTATATTTTTTTTCATCTGGTGTGCTTAATCATTGGTAATATGAAAAAAGTTAAAAAAAAAATGGTCGCTGGGCCTATTGGACAACTCCACCCTCATGACATCAGGAGGATTCATTTTTAATTAACTTCATTTTAAAAGATCGCTATGCCATTCAGAAACAGATCCAAATATTAAATTTCTAGAAAATATTCTTAGAAACAAAGAAAAAGACGTTGAAATTCTATGTAATATCTAATCTTCTATGTGATACTGAATATTGGACAATTGACTCACAGAGGAAGAAGAGACTTGAAGCTAGAGAGTTGTGGTTCTACTGACAAATGAACTATATTCAGCAGCAAACCCTCTGATCGGAAGATTGGAGATCCTTAGGAGCGTGGAACCACCTTTTAATTGATATTGTTCCCAGGTCCACTCTGATCCGGGGTGGTAGGATTCAAGCTATGGGCAAATAGTAATCTCCCAAACAAAAAACAAAACACTATGAAAGTATAAAAATACATTTTTATAGTAAAAATACTAGGGATATATTTTTATATAAAAAAAATTACCAATAATACCGATTTATAGTAAAATTACTAACAATACCTATCTATAGCAGAATTACAAACAATACCTACTTATAGCAGAAGGACCAATAGTACATTTTATCTGTAGTTGAAATTACAGTTACATTCAAAATATATTTAGTTGAGGTCATATAATTTTGTTCAAAATATTTAGATTTCGGCATTAAATAGCCCATAGATATATTGATAGGGCGCTAAACAAAATCAACCAAAATATGCCGACAAAATAGGAACTACAAATGAATTGATCCCAACAACAAGAAGGAAACAGTTAAAAGTTTTATGGCAAACAAGGAATTAATATGGTTTGGATAATTTAACACTGATAGAGTATAATAAAAATTAAAAAAAAATGGCGAGAAAAGCGCTTGTAGCCAACTTAAAGATTGAGTAAGACCTCCTTGCCGCATCGAAGCGTACAGAGTATAAACGCAAAAAAAAAAAAAATGAACAATAGACTCATGTATAACCCCAACCAATATGTAACTCTATTTAATGGGCAAAGTTTATAGGTAAATATAAACCTGATAATTATTTACCTGAAGACTCAATTATAAATCTGACTGATTTTTACCAGTAGACCCAAGTTTAAAACTGGCCGATGATTTCATAGAGACTCAACTATAAACACGATCAATGTTTACCCACAGACTCAGGAATAAACCCAACAATATGTTACTGAAGAATAAAACTAGCCGATAATTACCTATAGATTCAAGTAAAAACACAACCAATGTTTACATATAAACACGACCATTATTTGCCCATTGACTCAAGTATAAACAGAAAAAATGTTTAATTATAGACAGAAGCATAAATATAAGCAATGTTTACCTATAAACTCAAGTATAATGAACAATGCTTACGTAGAGACTCAAATATAATAATAATAATAATAATAATAAACAGATTTTGATATTAAATAACACATCAAAGATGGATAACTCATAAAATCCACCAGCTCATCTCAATTTTCTCTAAAGCTCCAAAAGAGATGCAGTAAAGCCCAGTTTTAAAGAATTAATTGCGGGTAAAGTTCCTTAAATTCGATAAATCTCTGCAATAATATCCGATAAATAGAGGATTGCTGAATGGGGTTGTTGTAAGGGCGGAAAGAGAGGAAGTAAGAAGTGAGGATATGTAGGATAGATAATGATTGACCCTAGACTTGCAAAATTTAAAATCGTAGAGACTGAGTAGTCAATCCCTAGGTAGTCTGTTCCACAAAGTAACAATTCTGTGGAAGAAGCTGTCTAAGTGGAACTTCCTCCTTACCAATGGAAGGCGAAGATAATAGTGTCGACCCTATGTACTTGGCATGGCGGTTCTTAAATATGAAGGACTGAACTGGTGGAACGAAGGAATGCTGCTCGCGTGAATATTTACAATGAAAATAGCGACAGTACAGCGAGAGGTCAGCAACGTTTCATCTATGGGAGAGGGGTTTGGCGGTAAAAATAATTCAGCACTCACAAGGCCGCGCAAGTGCTTTCGGAGAGTCTAGTTCTATTTCCAGTCAGGTTTGTTATATTCACTTACTTGCAAATAGCCCCGGGAAAGGTATTAATTCACCTCTTCTCCCTCCTGCTATGGATTAATTAGCAGGACTTTATCAATAAATCATTATTATCTCCTAAAATGCCTAAAAATATGTTCTGGCTTTAAATAACCTGCAAAAGGTTGATAAACCGTAAAAAAGTAAATTAGTTTAATTTAAACACAATGGTGAAGACAAAATCATATTTAGTTTAATGTAGTGATAAATATATTAATGAAATAAATATCAGCGTAAAAAAGAAACAAAAACACTGTACGTAAGGAACATTCTAGAAGCACATATGTCCATGAGACTCACAATAAACTCATTTTATATGGCAAAAGAAGGATGCAAATTATTTCCGCTGGATTACGTCCACTTTGGGAGATCTAAGACAGGGTTTATTGTGTTTGATTTCCCCCTCTTTTTAAACGCCCTGATCATCGCGAAACCATTAACGTAGTTTTTTATTTTTTTTTATAATTTTGAAACTATTTTTTCAAGCGTTAAAGATCTGGATGAGACACATGTCTTATTTTTTAAAAACAGATTTCCCGTTGAAAAATAAGGAGGGCTTTTTTGGCTCGTCTGAAAGTTTGCATATCTAATTATAATCATGTCTATATCATATCCATTATTAGACCCTCTCAAAATAACATAATTGTAGTAAAGAGAGAGTGGTTTGGCCAAGTGTTCATTCACACTTCCTATCATCTTCTCTTCTCTATCAAACATATGCTATAAGATATTCTTTCATAATATCTGTGTGTGTGAGAGAGAGAGAGAGAGAGGAGAGATGGGAGAAAGAGAAAGAGAGAGAGAGAAAGAGAAAGAGAGATGGGGAAAGGGAGAAGAAGGATAAATGCATTCTGCCGTCTCAAAGGACATATGTGCAAAATGGTGTATACAAGCAGGCTCGAGGCCAAAAACAAAAAAAAAAAAAAAGAAAGAAAGAAAGTTACATAAGTGTATATAAATAGAAGAATTAAGACAACTGAAAGTGGGAGAGAGGGAAAGAAAGAGATGGAAAGAGAGATTAGAAAAAGAGAGACTAAAGTAACCGAGAAAAAAATGGCCCAAGAAAGCATGTAAATAGGAGACAAGAGAAAAATGGGAGAAAGTGTGTGTGTGTGTGTGTGTGTGTGTGAGAGAGAGAGAGAGAGAGGGGGGGGGGAGAAAGAAGAATAAATGAAAAAGAGAGGTACAAAAGAGCATTTAAATAGAAGTGCGACACAAGAAAAGTGGAGGATAGAGAGAGAGAGTGAGAGAACGAAAAAGAGAAGGACAAGTAGAGAGAAAAAAAAAACGAAAGGCACAAGCGGACATCTAAAGAGAAGTGAAAAGGAAACAGAAACGTGTGTGTGTGTGTGTCTGTGTGTGTGTGAGAGAGAGAGAGAGAGTAGGAGAGAAAACAGAGAGAGAGTAGGAGAGAAAACAGACAGAGATCGAAAACAGAAAAGAATGTGTAAAGAAAGAAAGAGAACATGTAAATAAAAGAAGGAAGAGAGATAAAGAGAGGGTGAAAAGGAAAAAAAAGGGTACATGAGACTATATAAAGAAAAAAAGAGATATCAGAAAATTAGAAGAGAGGGAAAGAGGTAAAGATCGAAAAAAAAAAAAAAAGTAAAAAAGAGAAAAACAGTAATAAAAACAAAGGGGCAAGATAAGCACATAATTATAGGAAGTGAAACACCCCCAAAACTGCGAGGGAGTAAGAGCGAAGAAAGAAAGAAAAAAAAAAGAAAGAAAGAAAAAAGAAATGAAGGAATGTAAGAAGGAAGAAAGAAATGAATAAAAAGAAAGAAAGGCGAAAGAGAGCATCAACAGAAAAATGGAAGAGAAAGAGACCGAAAAAAAGTAAAAAAAAAAAGACCAAAGAGGACGCTTCAATAGTGCCTATAAGTAGAAGTGATAAAATAGAGAAGTGGAGAGAGAGAGAGAGAGAGAGAGAGAGAGAGAGAGAGAGAGAGAAAGAAAGAAAGACACTAGAAAGTGAGCAGTGGAAATTTTTCGCGAGTGACACAGACACGAGCAGATGAAATGTAAGTCAGACAGGCTTTCTCGTCTTTTATAATTGCCCCTAGATATCCTCATAGTCTTGAAGAGGTTAAGTGCGCTGAAGAGTGTTTTATGAGGGTGCAGACCTTTACGGTTAAGGAGCTGTTGGAGCCGGACCCTTGGGACAGGGTTTGGGCTATTTCTAGGCGAATCACAGTCGACCGGTTAAGTTCAATCAAAGATGCCGACAATTAACGGTTTTTGAACAGATGAGGCCTCGATTCGCGCAAGCAAAAGAACATATAAATAACATTTGGGGCGGATTAGATTCTCCAGTGGTGGTGGTTGGGTGAGAGAAGACATTCTCTCACCCAACGAAGAAAGAGACTGAGTGAGAGAGAGAGACAAGGAGAGTAAGGGAGAAAGAATAAACCATCAGGAAAGAATTATAGAGGAGGAAGGAAGGAAAAACAGTGTTAAGAATCAGATGATAAATATAAGAGGGGTGGAAAAATACTGAAGAAAAAAGGAAAGAGAGGGAGGGAAACTGAAAAGAAAGAAAGAAAGAAAGAAGAAAACTTTGTGAAAGTATAAAGGAAGAAAAGAAAGGGAAAACATAGAAAGTGGAAAGCGAAAAACAAAGAAAGAAAAAGAGAGAAATGAAAATGAAAGAAGAAAAAAAAAACCAAAGTGAGGCACAAACATGGATACAAAAAAAGATAGAAAGATAAAAGGGGAAAAAGGAAGAAGTAAAGAGAAGAAATGCAAAAAAAAGAAAAAAAAAGAAACAATAAAGGAAAAAAGAAATAAAGAATAATCGATGCAGAGAGAGAGAGAGAGAGAGAGAGAGAGAGAGAGAGAGAGAGAGAGAGACCAACTGGGTGGAAAGATATGACAACAAATTAAAAATAAAAAAATGACTGAAGATGATATCAAAGAGTGAAAAACAATGAAGATAATTAGAAGGCTGCAAAATAATTGAATTCGGGAAATAAATAGCATCAAAACTAAAACTAAAAACGGACACACGATGAACATATCCTAAAGCAAAAATAATAAAAAAAAATAAATAATAAATATAAAATAATAATAATGAGAAAAAGATTTAAAACACAAAAAAAAGTAAAAAAAGTAAAAAAAAAAAAAAAAAAAAAAAAAAAAAAAACCCCAAAACGCGGCAATAATAGCCGGGGAAAAAACAAAAGACGAAATTGTAAAGCACACACACACACACACACACACACACACACACACACACACACACACACACACACACACACACACACACACACACAAAATACTCAGGAATGCAAATATAGACATGATTGGGGAGGAATAGTAATCCACTGGGAATTGTTCAAACGGCTGAAATAGGACCATATAAATCAACAGCATATGCACAAACCTGAAAAGTAAAATTAGTTTTTTTAATCCTTTCACACCCAAGTAAAGCAATAAATTCACTAAGACACAAAAAGGTATTAGAGTATTAGAGAATACGAGAAAAGAAGAAAATACTTTTATGGAGAGATAATAATAATAAAAGAACAAGAGTTAAGAAAACAGAAGGTAACGATTGACATTGCATTTAAATTTTTGAACATCAAACTTGACTGGGAAGCAAGAAACCAGAAGGGAGTTCCACAAGTGAGAAGTGAAAGAGAAGAAACTGTTAGCAAAGAACTTACGGTTACATCTAGCCATTTCAACTGTAAAATGGTGAGACCTTGCTGTCAATTTAGTACTGAGTTTAAATTCATAAAGTCTAGGTACCATAGAGGAAAGTTCATCAGGGCAATTACCTTGAAAGTATTTATAGAAAAGGCACAGGGAAGCTACATTATTATTACGGCTGTGGGAAAGTAACTGAAAATGAATCGCCCAACATGGGACACAGTTAGAAATCCAGTCGCGATGAAAAAGGTCAATTAGTAGATATCGCTGTTCCCGACTATTATTATTATTATTATTAATATTTCCTTTGATTTGTGTTGTATACACATTTCCTCCCGAGTCCCACTCAGAGACCTAAGGTCAGAAATAGCTTCATGACATTTTCCCCCGCCCATTTTTGAAAAAACAAAGAAACAAACAACAACAATAAAAAAACCAAATACAAAAAAAAACCCAACTAAGATCACATACATTTTACATAGATAAAGGTCTTCCTAATGTATGAGCTGTATATCTGAGTACAATTTGTTGTATTTCTTTAACGTATGGGCTTCAATCCTTTCACTGAGTCTATCTGACCTTTTTGCAATCAATCCGAGGGCTCCAACTACAACTGGAATTATTAATGTCCTCATGTGCCACATTTTTGAGATTTCCATTTCAAGATTCTTGATTCTTGAAAAAACTCAAGAATCTTGATTCTCAAGATTCTTGAGTTTTTTTTAAAGATCTTCAAAGATACATTACAATCTTCAGGAACTGCCATGTCAATAAGAAAGTATATTCTGCTTTTGTGGTCTTTGATCACGATGTCTGAGAGATTATTATTATTATTAGCAGTAGTAGTACTAGTAGTAACTTTTCGTTAATATTTCCTTCAAGTCTTTTTATTGAAACTTTCAGAACGCCATTCTACAATCGTTAGCAGCATGGATCAGAAATAAAATATGAAGCTTCGGTGAGAATCGAACTCGTATCTCTATCGCGAGGAGTTTGCTTTTACCACTATACTCATATGATCTGTCAGTAAAATTGAAAGAAAGTGAAAAGCCAGAAAAATATCAAAGCCTTGTAAGAAAAATGCAAAACGTGTAAAATGTGAACGGGCTAATCGTTGTTAACTTTATTAGGGTGTTTAGAACAGTCCCCAAGATCGCTGCTTGTAGGTTGGGAGAATTGAAAATCTGGATGACTTTGAGAAAATAGCATTGTTAAAAAGACAACTTGAACATTAAAGTTATTACTGCAGCACAGAAGAATTTTGCTGTCACTTGATCCCCGACCACTGGTGGGAAAACACAAATTATTGTTAAAATCTTCATCCCCCCCCCAAAAAAAAATGAAATGGAGTTTGAATAAAAAAAATGGACGATGTTGGTGATCCAAGAAGCAGCAGAAGACATTCATTTTTTATTTATTTTTAAATATTTTTCACCCTGTACAAGGCCTAAGAGCCACTCAAAGTAGAGAGTTACACAGTAAGAGGCACACGTCGATATGTGAGAAATATGACTTTTAACCCTAGACTTGAACAGATTAAGATTGTAGTGATCTGGGAAGCATTCTCTTGGGAGACGGTTCCACAAAGCAGCGATTCGCGGGAAGAATCTGCTCGAATGGAACTTACTTCTCACCAATGCAGCACAAACGGAATGACTGTGGTACGCTACAATGTGCGTAGTATGGTGGGTCTTAGCCATAAAGTTTAGAACCAAGGAATGTAGTTCGTCTGAGCACTTTCCATGAAAATAGTGATAAAACAGAGTGAGACTTGCAATGTTTCATCTGTGGGAAAAGGGTTGTAGGGTGGAAGATAATTCATCGCCCACAAGGAAGCAGAGACGCTTTTGTAAACAAAGAAGTTATCGGGACATTGAACAAAATAAAGCCAGTATCTGTGTTAGAAATAGATTCTATTAAACAACCCTACCGAAGTGAATATTCAACTAGTATCTTTAGAATATTATTATATTAGGGTGTACGGAAAGTAATTACGTATTTCATGCTTCTGAATTATAAAAGAACCAACCTAGATAGAAACTTGAAAGTTAGAAAACTGCGTCTAGAATAAGCTTATCATTTTTATATCCGATTATATAACCAAGAATGATAGTTTTTCCTTTTTACATCGCATTGTTACATGTAATGAAAAATGGGTTTTGCATGTCAAGAAAAAGACAAAGACAATCAGTAAGTTATGTGCCATGCGTGATACACGCGTAGGTGATTATGTATTTTTCAATACATGACTGATGAGGCAGATTTTTTTCCCGTAGTAGGTTGCCATTTCTTTCTGCGGTAGACCAGTTGCCATCCAATGCCATAGAACCCGGTCTATCATGCTATTTATATCTGGGGGAGAAGAAGAGGATTCATACCTTTCCCAAGGGCACGTAAGTGAACGTAATGGATTCGACTGGAATTCGAACTCGGTTCTTCGATTCCTCAATCCGAACAGCTATCCATTACTCAACCGTAAGATTTTTCGTAAAATGAGAAACCAGTGCCAACGCCAAAGCCAGAACTCAATCACAAACGCCTTTGCTATGTTTCTGGTGGCATACGAAAAGTGTCGTCCATTGCGAACATAAGGAACACAGACGGATCATCGCTGCAAACGTTTATTTTCAACAACTTGATCAGATAAATGAAAAATTACATTAAAAGTTTCCTGTTTAAGCAAACAGAAAAGATATCATTCTACCTCATGACAACAGAATGGCACACTTTGCAAAACAAACATAATATATTGATCTTTAAGATGGGAGGTCCTTCCATATCCTCCATATTCTCCAAATTCAGCACCTACAGATTTTCATTTGTTTCGATCACTAGAACATTTCAGTTGCAGAATTTTCAGAAATAAAGAATTCGAAGAGAATCTTTTAAAATTTGTCGGGAAAATTCACAAATTTCTTCTATTTTTAAAACTAATGTTCACCCAATACACGGCGTTGAGGTGTCGTATGGGCTTGAGAAAGGGGAGGAAGTAAAGTTATTGGGGCTCTGCAGGAAAGATAGCAGCTAGCTCTAAACTTGAAGTAGTCAACATTTAATAAGTGTTTAACATTTCACAGTTCAGAGACGGGAACGTCAGAAGTATAGAGTTGAAGAAGACCTCAGAAGGAACCGGAAACTCAATCCTAGACAGGAAACAAGGAATAAACCTCTACCCTAGTTCAAAAATCTGGCATGGAGTGTGAACCGAATGATAGGCGAACCTGTCTACAACTACTGAGGGAGGAGAAAAACAGATAATCAGTGAAAAAATTTCAGAGTTCAGGTACAGCCGTTAGGAGTATAGAGTTGTAGCATTTTTTTTAGAAGAACCGGAAATCTACTCCGAAACAAGAAAGAAGGGATTAACGTTTACTCCTGTTCAAAAGACCCGGGAGGAGTGTGAACCGGACTATAGGCGAACCTATGGTGGAATTACTTTCCTGTTGGGCTGCATTCGTTTCAAATGGAGATGACTACGTATTTTATAAATAATATTTAAGTAAATTTAACTTACATTCGTTTTTATATTATTTCTGTTAAAAAGGAATTATTTTCCGAACACCATACTAGTAGTGACAGGGAGGCACTTCGACGTGGTGTAATGGTTAACAAGCTTGTCTTGCTTGATAAGTTACAGAGTGCTGCGCATTTTCAGCTTTGTGCTACATCTGTTACGCTTAGAAAATTTGTTATCTGGAACCCCCACTTAAGTGCTGTTGTTCCTAGGTCCACATGGTAGCACCTTTTAGGGTCCCAGTCATGGGCAAATAGTGAACCCCCCCATCAAAGAAAACACTATAAAAGTATAGACATACATTTTTATAGTAAATATATCAACAATAAATTTTGATATAAAAAATTACCAACAATACATTTTATCTGCATTTGAAGCTATGAAATTGTGTTCAAAATGTATAGATTTCGTCATTAAATAACCCATAGAGGTTGATATGCCGCTAAACAAAATCAACCAACAAACAAATGAACATGAAAGAACTCTTTCATGACATTAATCAATATACTATTCTACAATTTCTTTAAAAAATCAAAGTGTATTTCGAAATATAACTTCAATTTAAACTACTACATAAAACACACGTATTACCGCCTCTAGTAATCATGTCCTCATAAACATGTATATGCACAAAAGCTGAGTATTATCTACCATGTATTCAATTGTGAAAGCAGAATAACATGTCATATTTTTATTTTTTTTAAATATCCAAAGAAAATTAAATTTCGACAT